GACATTTGCAACAATATGGATATAGAGACTATAATGCTAAGTGAAATAAGTTAGAGAAAGACAAATAGCATATGATTTCACACATATATGGAATTTATGAAACAGAACAGACAAGCAAAGGGAAAAGAGACACAAGGTAAGAAATAGACTATTAACTAAAGAGAACAAACTGATGGTTACCAGAAGGGATGTGGGTTAGGAGGATGGGTGAAATATGTGATAGGAATTAAGGAGTATAGTTGCTATGATGAGCACTAGATGATGTATGGAAATGACAGATCACAATACTGTACACTGGAAACAAATATAATACTGTATGTTAATTATCTGGAATTAAAATAAAAAATAAGAAGAAAAGATACATGGTATGACTTAGATCTTGTTTAATTTGTTGAGACTTCTGTTGTGACCCAATATTTGATCTGTAGTGGAGAATGTTCCATGTACACTTGAAAAGAAGATATATTCTGCTGTTTTAAAATGGAATGTTCTGAATACATTGGTTAAATCCACCTGGTCCAGCGTGTCATTCAAAGCCATTGTCTCCATGTTTGTTTTCTGTTTGGATGATCTATCCATTGATGTACGTATGGTGTTTAAGTCCTCTACTATTATCGTGTTACTACTGATTAGTTCCTTTATGTTTGTTATTAACTGTTTAATGCATTTGGGTGCATAAATACTTAGAACTGTTATATCTTCTTGTTGGATTGTCCCTTTATTATTATATAATGTCCTTGTCTCTTGTTACAGTCTAGTTTGTCTATGTAATGCTACTCTGGCTTTCTTTTGACATCCCTTTGCTGGATAAATGTTTCTCCATCCCCTCACTTTTAATCTGCAGTTTCAGTAGAGACCATGGCAGAATCCTGGATTTTTACCCCTCTCCAGCAGAAATGAGACACTGGGGTCTTGTCAGAGGAGGCCTAATGGAGAGTCAGGTCTTCCTCCCACCACTGCCTGAGTAATGAAACCATACCCCTCTCTCATTGTGTCAACAAAGACCAGGTGGGGAGCAGTAACAAGGCACTCCTGTGCTCTCCCTATCCAGAATGGAAATCAGTGGAGGACTACTAGACAGCATACACTATAATCACTCTGTAGTCATGAGGAAGTTCTCCAACCTCCAGGTTCCAGCAGAGGGCAAGTGGGGAACTGCCACCTCCCTGGCTAACAAGGTAGCACCCTTTTCCCCCTCCAGAGCAGTGTCAGAGGAGGCCTGCTAAAACAGAGTAAGATCCAAGTCCCACTACAGAATAATTAAAATGCCCAGGTAGCAATCCAAAACTACTCATTATACCAAGAAATAGGAAAACCTCAATTTGAATGAAAAAAGACAATCGACAGATGCCAACAGGACACAGCTGTTGGAGTTAAGTAAGATTTAATGCAGCCATCATAAAAATGCATTAGTGAGCAATTATAAACCTGCTGGAAACAAATGAAACAAGAGACAATCTCTGGAAAGAAAGGGAAAACCTCAGCATATAGATTTAAAGGGCAACTAAATGGAAATTTTTGAACTAGAAAATACAATAATTAATTTTAAAAAGCCCTCAGTGGATGGGTTCAACAGAATGGAATGGACAAAGGGAAGAATCCGTGAACCTGAAAGTAGAACCATGGAAATGACACAATAAAAAATGAAAGAAATTAGCCTACATAAAAATGAACAGAAACACACATCACTTGGGCTCTTCATAAAAATGAACAGAAGCACACAGTTTGGGCTCTTCTTACTCTTTGTACTTGCTTATTATTATTACTACTTTGGCTACACTCCTTTGTATAATCTATTGTCCCCAGCATGATGCATTCTTCTTAATAGGTATAAGTATTTTTGAATTATAAAAATGAACAGAGCCTCAGAGACATGTGGAACTATAGTGAAAGTTCTAATAGCCATGTCACATGAGTCCCAGAAGAAGAGGAGAAAGAAGATAAGGCTGAAAAGTATTCAGAGAAAAAAAAGGATGAAAATTTGCTGAATTTGGCAAAAAGACATAAACCTGCAAATGCAAGAGGCTGCATAAATGTTTAACAGAATAATTCCAAAGAAATCTATGCCAAGACACATCACATTAAAGCTTTTTTAAAAATTTATTTATTTTCAGCATAAGAGTATTCATTGTTTTTGCACCACACCCAGTGCTCCATGCAATCCGTGCCCTCTCCAATACCCACCACCTGGTTCCCCCAAGCTCCCACTCCCTGCCCCTTCAAAACCCTCAGATTGTTTTTCAGAGTCCATAGTCTCTCATGGTTCACCTCCCCTTCAAATTTCCCCCAACTCCCTTCTCCTCTCTAACACATTAAAGCTTTTAAAAATTAACAACTAAGAAAAATCTTGAAAGCAGCCTGGGGTGGGGGGACACATTACCTATAGTTGAAAAACAATTCAAATAGCAGCAGATTTCTCATTAGATACCATGGAGGCCAGAAAGAAGTACAGCTTATCATGGACTACTACTCAGCAATAAACAGGAATGTAATATAGATGCATGCAGCAAGTTGGGTGAACCTTAAGAAAATTTTACTGAGAAAAAAAAACAACCCTCAAAAGATTATCTACTGTTTTAAATAAAAAATAAGAAAAATTTTTAAAAAGAAAAACAAAGATTACCTATTATAGGATTCATTCTGTATGACATTGTCAAAATGACAAAATTACTGAGAGAGAAAACAGATTAGTGGTTGCCTGGGATTAGATAGCTGATGTGGGGAGGGAGGGATGTAGCTATGGCTATAAAAGGGTAATAAAAGGGATCCTTGTGGTAATGGTCACAGGAATCTATACATGTGATAAAATCATATATGCACATTATAACAATGTCAAACTCTTGGGTTTTGATATTGTGCTACAATTTGGTAAAACAGAACTACTGGAAGAAACTGGGAGAAGGGTACATGGGACTTCTCTGTACTACCTTTGCAAATACCTATGAATCTATAATTGTAAAATAAAAAAAAAAACTATACACTTTGAACCAATAATTCCACTCAAAGAAGTTTTAAAAAATAATGGAATTTTACAGGTATTTGTTTATTAGACTGGCCTTTTTTTTATAGGACTACAAAGTATAAATTTTCTCTTAATCTCAACCACATGGGATTAAATAAAAACAGTATACCCACAATCACTGAAAATATCATAGACATGCAAAAGATTTTTGTAGTATTAAGCCTTTTTAAAAAGCAGATTATAAAACAATATATAAAATAGTACTGCATATTTATGGAAATATGTATGTATATACATGTAAAAAGCAAGATAAAAAGACACACACCAAGTGTTCATCATCTATGGGTAGAAGGATTACAGTAATTTTACTTTTCTTTTTTACATCTTTCAAACTGTCAATAGTGAGTATGTATTATTAGACTGGGCATACAAAAATATTTCACACAGAAAAATAAAATTTATAAAAAGAAATTTACAAAATATTCACAAACATAAAATAAATGTAATTTAAAAAACCAAAGATGAGTGCAGTTTTATATCTAAGATACTAACACAGGTAAAAAGACATGAAAAAAACTTGTTAAGGTAATAGGGAACAATAATGATAACAATAATGATAAAGATAACTGTCATGGTAAACATTTACTTAATTCACAAATCACTGTATAAGGTAGAAAACCACCAGTGAGCTACTTTTCAAAATGAAATTTAGGATTACAGCAATAAGGGACGAGTTTTCTTCACTCTCCCTGCTGGCAACAAGCTCCCAATTCTCTCTGTTTAACCACATTTCTGACATCTTTTAGTAAATAATAGTTTTACACTTGAAAACATAGGCATGCTTTCATTGACTATGCCAAACCAGATTAGTCTTCTGCTTCTCATAATTCATGTAACAATTTGAAAAAAAACTTAATATAAATTTACAGCATTCTAAGTAATCTAGTTAATGACATTGTTGTTTCCTTCCTATGAATCTCTACAGTCCACTGTTTGTTGGTTCCTCTCATGGCACTTTCATATTCTGCCTCTTACAGCTACTTCTTTGTTTCTCTTATCTGTCCAACTAGATTGAGTCCCCTAAGGTCAGGCCTATGTCATACTCTTCTTTACCTATCCTGAAATGTCTAGCAGAATACACTGCACACAGTTAATATCATCTTGTTCTATTATTAAGTGTGCATTAAGATTATGAACATTTCTTTTTTTTTTTAAAAGATTTTATTTATTTATTTGACAGACAGAGATCACAAGTAGGCAGAGAGGCAGGCAGAGAGAGAGGAGGAAACAGGCTCCCTGCTGAGCAGAGAGCCCGATGCGGGGCTTGATCCCAGGACTCTGGGATCATGACCTGAGCCAAAGGCAGAGGCCCCAACCCACTGAGCCACCCAGGCACCCCAAGATGATGAACATTTCAAATCAGGCATGCAACCCTCTGTTTTTTTGTAATCCCTACAGTACATAGTTTAGGTCTAGGCATAATGATATCCAATGTATCCTTGCTGATTTCTATTTAGTGAAACACCTTTGAGAAATATGTTCTACAAGGCATGGTATCTGACGATGTTAGAGACAGAAATTTTGATACATAGTGGTAAAAGAACATAAATGTTACCGAACTTTAGACTCATAAAAAATAGAGAATTTACATATGGCAGAAGTTCATAACTGGATTAAGAATTCTGAGGAAAAACAAAGAAGAGTAATAGCAGTAAAGAAAATAAATTTTGTGAAAGTATGTTTCTAATAAGCTTAAGTAAAGTTACAGAAAGAACTATAAAGTCACAGAAATTCTTTCACTAGAGGGAAAATTATAATTCTTTCATTATAAATTATGCCTATGGAGATCCAGCCACAAAAATGATTAGAGGCAAAGCAGTAAAATGACTTACTGTATGAACATAAAGTGTGTGAACAAAGAATGTGAATAAAAAATATATGGCAAAACTATAACCAGAACTCAGACAATTTTATCAATGGCTGCCCCCTTTTACTTCCTAAACAAACACACAAAACAAACGGATTCTACTGTGCTTACATGTGCCTTTCATGCATGTCATTGTTGAAGGACACAACTCAATGACTCGAACAGCAAAAGTTCCTGGTTCTTCTCCTGGTACTGTCAAAATGGAAATCTAAAAAGTGTAAACAAAATATTATACATAGCTGGTAGATCTCATTTTCATTCTTCTATCATTAGAGTGCAGTTAACTTTCAAATTGAGTTGTCTTTTTTCAAACTCCACTGATGTATGAAAAAATAATTTTTAAGGGTCTAATTTAGAATAGAATTTGAAACATGTAACATGAACATATGTCCAAACATTGAGTATCTGCATTATTTATATACTTATATATCATATATATTGCATTCATATAATTTAGACAATAAATACTTCAAATATATTTAATAGTTAATTCTTCACTTATTTTAAAAGGATTCACTTATGACTTACTATTTCTGAATTATATATACTTCAGTATTTGAAAATAGATATTATATCAATTTTGATTATTCATAATGGCTAAAAGCAGATATAGAATACTAAAATCTTAAAATGTTATAAATCCCAAAGATATCGAAATAATAGATCAACATCTACCAAAATACAGCTGCACTATATACCAAAATGTTTCAAAATGAAGGTCTTCAAATTAATTTAAAGATTCCATTAATAAAATTAGAAACCCAGCATTTACAGTAAAGTAGAAAATTGTTTTTCAGTAATGTTTATTGATATGCAGTATGCTGATATGCTATAGGCACTACTAATATATTACATGGCTTTATACTCACAATTTTAAATGACCATCAGTCAATGTTTCTCTATAAAACTAAAAGTTTCAATATGAATTCTCAATAATCTTCAATCTGAGGAAACTATATCCCCTCACATATAAAATACTTGCCAAAAAGTAAAGCCCTATTTATACTTTTATCTATGAGCGCTAGATGCCCAGATTTTGATGGGTGATGTCACACTGATAGCCCAACACAGGAAAGGCCTACAAGTTCTCAAAACAGAAATTCTTTTGATAACCCTAACTATTCTATTACTATCAGACTTCTTATAAGTACATTTTTGGGCTTAATATGGCTCAAAAACTGAGTTCCCCATATTCCTCTTGACTTCCTTTTGCTACTGGCTGTCCATGATATAGAATGTTGTACTTTAAAGAGAGGAGACACTAAAACATGTATCTAGTTGTACAATACTTATCAAATGATTATGACTAAAAACGTGCATAACTGGAAAGGTATCTTAGGGACTGCAGCAACAGGGAAGTTCAGGCATACCACATTTTATTGCACTTCACTTTACTGCACTCTGCAAATACTATGTATTTTTTTTTCTCTTACAAATTGAAGGCTTGGGGTGCCTGGGTGGTTCGGTGGGTTAAAACCTTTGTCTTCAGCTCAGGTCATGATCTCAGGGTCCTAGGACTGAGCCCCGCATTGGGCTCTCTGCTCAGTGGGGAGCCTGCTTCCCGCCCCCCACCGTCTCTCTGTCTACTTAAGATCTCTGTCAAATAAATAAATTTTAAAAATCAAAAAAAATTGAAGGCTTGTAGCAACCTTGCATTGAGCAAGTCTGTTGATTTTTTCCAACAGCATTTTGTTCACTTCATGTCTCTATGTCACATTTTGGTTAATTCTCATAATACGACAAAACATTTCATTATTATATTTGTTATGGTAATCTGGGATCACTGATCTTTGATGTTATTATTGTCATTGTTTAGGGGCTCCATGAACTGTGCCCATATAGAATAGCAAATTTAATTGATAAATGTTTTGTGTGCTCTGACTGTTCCACCAACCAACCATTCCCCAGTCTATACCCTCTCCTGGGGCCTCCCTATTCGCTGAGACACAGTGCTACTGAACTTAGGCAAATTAATAACCCTATAATGGCCTCTAAGTGTTCAAAGGAAAGGAAGGGTCACACATCTCTCATTCTAAATCAAAAGCTAGAAATAATTAAGCTTAGTGAAAAAGGCACACTGAAAGCCAAGATAGGCCAAAAGCTAGGTCTCTTGTGCCAAACACCCAAGTGGTAAATGCAGAGGGAAAGTTCTTGAAGTAAATTAAAAGTGCTACTCCAATGAACGTAAGAATGATAAGAAAGGGAAACAGCCATATTGCTTATATGGAGAGAAGTTTAAGGGGTCTGGATCAAACTAGCTAAAACATTCCCTAAACCAAAGCCTAATCCAGAGCTAGGCCCTAACTCTTTTTAATTCTATGAAGGCTGAGAGAGGTGAGAAAGTTACAGAAAGGTTTGAAGCTTAGTCAAGATTGGCTCATGAGGTGTAAGGGAAGAAGCCATTTCCATAAAGGAGTGCAAGGTGACATCGCAAATACTGACACAGAAGCTGCAACAAGTTATCCAGAAAATGTAACTAAGATAATACATGAATGTGGCTACACTAAAGTACAAATTTTCCAGGTAGATCAAATAGTCTTCTATTGGAAGAAGATGTTATCTAGGACTTTCATAGCTAGAGAAAAGTCAAGACCTGGCTTCAAAGCTTCAAAGGACAGGCTGATTCTCTTGTTAAAGGCTAATGTAGCCCGCAACTTTAAGTTGAAGCCAATGCTCATTTATCATTACAATAATCCTAGGGCCTTTAAGATTTACTACTCTCCCTGTGCTCTGTAAATGGAACAACAAAGCCTGGATGATACCACACAGTTTACGAGTATTTTAAGGCCACTGTTGAGACCAACTGCTCAGAAAAGATTGCTTTTAAAATATGAATGCTCGCTGACAATGAACCTGGTCACCCAAGAGTTCTGATGATGCTGTACAAGAATAATGTTCTCATGCCTGCTAACACAACATATTTTCTGCAGCTTATGGATCCAGGAGTAATTGTGACTTTGCCATAGATAGTGATTCTTCTGATGGATCTGAGCAAAGTAATCTGAAAACCTTCTGGAAAGGATTCACCATTCTCGATGTCATTGAAACCATTCATGATTCATAGGAAAAGGGCAAAATATCAACATTAATAGGAGTTTGGTGGAAGTTGATTCCAACCCTCATGAATGACTTTGAGGGATTCAAGATTACAGTGGAGGAAGTAACTGCAGATGTGGTGGAAATAGCCACGCAACTGGAATTAGAAGTGAAGCTTGAAGAAGGGGCTAACTGGCTACAATCTCATGATAAAACTTTAATAAATGAGGCCTTGCCACTCAAAGATGAGTAAAGAAAGCGCTTCTTGAGATGGAATCTACTTCTGACAATGATGCTGTGAAGACTGTTGAAACAACAACAGATTTAGATAGGACATAAACTTAGTTGATAAAACAGATTTTGATGGGACTGACCAATTTTCAAAGAATTTCTACTGTGGGTAAAATGCCATCAAAAAGCACTGTATGCTAGAGAAACCAATCATGAAAGAAGAGTGAATTGATGCAGAAAAGATTATTGTTGTCTTATTTTAAGAAACTGTCACAGTCACCCAAACCTTTAACAACCGCCACCCTGATTAGTCAGCAACCCTCAACATCAAGGCAAGACATTCCACAAGCAAAAAAAGATTACAATTCACCAAAAGTGCAGATGATGGTTAGCACTGTTTATAAATAAAGTATTTAATTAAGGTAAGTTCATTTTTTAGACATAATGCTATACTGCACATTTAATAAACTATAGTATAGTGTAAACATAACTATTATATGCACTGGGAAACCAAAAAAATCACGTGACTTGCTTTACTGTGACATTTGCTTTACTGCAGTAGTCTGGAACTACACTCACAGTATCTCTGAGATATGCCTATATTTCTTTTGTTTCCTACAACCATCAAGTCTAATTTTTAAAAATTTAAATATAATCAGTAATCCCCTTCTGTGTCCTGAACTGAGAAGGTACTGCCTTAAATCTCATAAAGATTAATAAAGCCATCAAAAGGGAATTCCCTTAATCCTCTAATACCACTTTCATAGAATTTATCTAAACTTACACCTATTCTTTCCTCTCTTTAAGCCTCATGACATATGTTTCCAAAATTTAAAAAAAAGGAAAAAAAACATGTAGGAAACAAAGAAAAGCATACCAACTGTATATTTTAAACTGCTCATTCTAATAGCTCTGTGGAGGCTTGATCTGAAGGAGTTAAGATGAAAGGCAGAACAAGTTAGAAGGCAGAAATAATGAGGTCCAGAACCAGAGCAGTGAGAATAAGGACTGAGAAGAAAAACAGATTGTAGCAACTTCTAGAAAGTACAATGAGAGGACCTGGAGGCTCAGGAGATAGCAGAGATGGGAGGAAGAAGTTGTTAGCTAGAAGGATGGCAGTGCTTTTCATCAAGGCAGGGAGCACTGGATGAGTAGTTTTGAGAGGGAAGATGGTGAGTTCAGCTCGAATTATGTTCAGTTTGAGGTGCTTTTGAGACAGGTGTCCAGCAGGAAGTTTGGCCAACATTCCTGGGAGATACAGAAATGGCTGTCACCAACATTTACGCAGAGTTAGAACCATGAGAGTATATGAAGTCAAGCAGCAAGTATGCACAGAGCAAGAGATAATGTGGGCTGAAACAAGAACCCTCAGGAGCCTCAACACTTAAGAGGAGGACATAACCCACAAAAGAAGCAGAGAGGGAATATCCAGAGAGTCATGAGGAGAACCAGGAGGGCAGTGTCATGGAAGCCCAAAAAGGGAATAATCAACATTGCTAAATGTACCATGAAAGACCAATAGACAAAAAACAAAAAACGTCCTGTGGTCCTAACCATTATAAAGCTTTTTAAAACCTAGCAAGAAAAATTGTGGTAGCAATGTGGAGATAGAAGAAAGGCCTAGAAATGAATGAGAGGTAAAGAGCTGGAGGAGGCAAGTATAGATATTGTCTTGAAAATGCTGACAAAAAACAGGTGAGAGACTGGATACAATTAGAGATGGAGGCAAAGTCAAAGGAGAATTTGTTTCTTGTTTCTGTCTTTTTAATTTTTGTTTTGGACCAGCAAGTACTAGTACATGTGTATAGGTTAAGGGGAAGGTATCAGTATCAAGGAATGCCTGAAGACACAGGAGAGAGAGCAAACATATAGGGTGGTTGTGTGTGAGTGCATGTGTGTGCGCGCGCACATGCGCCTGTGCATGCCAAGACCATCTGTGAAAGGGACTGCTGGCCTTAGACAAGGAGGGGAGCCTCCTCATTAGTCTCTGTACTTGTACATGAGTTGTGCGTGCTGGGGCAGAAGGTCAAGGGCCACTGTGCTTAGTAGGTGGCCCTGCTTTTCGCAGTGAAGTGAGGGGTGAGGTGAAAGAGCTGAGAGAAGGTGGGTAAAATAGTAAAGATTTGGATTAGACACTGAGGGGAAAGAGAGAGGGAGCCATCTGAGGTCAGTGGAAAAACTAACTGGTAATAAGCATTGAGGGTCCAGATGAATGAGGTTGGCAACCCTGACTCTGTGGCAGTGCCAGTCTGTCTGGTTGTGTGGTTTGCTCAAGTATCCGACTATAATCCAGATACAGATTATAGTCTCATCTAGGGACAGGGTTTTCCTCTGTGGGCGCAGTGGAAGAACATGGCTACATGGGAATTGAAGGTATTGGGGAAGGACAGTTGAGAAGATTAACCATGGGGTCTAGGACATGGAAAAGGAAGAGGACAGAAGGAAGCTGGGAAAGTGGGAGGAAAAAGAGAGGACAAGGAATCATAGGTCCCTGAGCTGAAGGCAGAGGCTTTAACCCACTGAGCCACCCAGGTGCCCCCCTCTAAGAGTTTTAAATGTATTCTCTGGGGATTCTCTTTTTCTTCCCAAAACAATGTATTTTCAATTTCACAGAATAGCTGTCAAAAACTAGGATTTAGTCCAACTTTCATAGAATAAAATATTACAAAAAATGTATTTGTCCTGCTGGAAGGATATGTTTAAGAAGCCAAGATCATTACAGAATTGACATTATGCATTTTTTAAAAAATGCATTAAGGGGCGCCTGGGTGGCTCAGTGGGCTGAGCCTCTGCCTTCAGCTCAGGTCATGATCCCAGGGTCCCAGGATCGAGCCCTGCATCAGGCTCTCTGCTCAGCGGGGAGCCTACCTCCCCATCTCTCTCTGACTGCCTCTCTGCCTACTTGTGATCTCTGTCAAATAAATAATTTTGTTTTTAAAAATGCATTAAATGCATTAGCACATACAGTTTAATACATTTTATTTCATCAATATTAATTTATACATAATACCATGTAGACTAGGTTACCAACATTTATTAAAAAGTACAGGACTAAAATTACCTGTTGATCTGAATCCGTTTTTAGTACAGATCTATCTGTAATCAGGACTGACCTGGAGATCTGCCTGTAATGCACAAAACAGTTAATCAGTGATTTTCCACAAATAAGTTTCATTTATAGTTATATAACTATAAGAAGGTATATTTCAAAGATTTAAGTCATGAAAAAAGTGTTGCCTCATCAAGCCAAGCCAAGCTCTGCTTTAATCTTTTCTTGGCTTATTGAAGGGAGGATACTGTGAGGGCATCTGGGTGGCTAAGAGTCTAGTCAACAAAACCAAAAGACAACCAACAGAATGGGAGAAGATACGTGCAAATGACATATCAGATAAAGGGTTACTATCCAAAATCTATAAAGAACTTATCAAACTCAACACCCAAAAAACACATAATCCAATCAAGAAATGTGCAGAAGATATGAACAGACATTTCTATAAAGAAGACATCCAAATGGCCAGTAGACACATGAGAAAGTGCTCAATATCACTCAGCATCAGGGAAATACAAATCAAAACCTCAAAGAGATACCACCTCACACCAGTCAGAATGGCTAAAATTAACAAGTCAGGAAACAACAGCTGTTGGTGAGGATTCAGAGAAAGGGAAACCCTCCTACACTGTTGGTGGGAATGCAAGCTGGTGCAGCCACTCTGGAAAACAGTATGGAGGTTCCTCAAAAATCTGAAAACAGAGCTACCCTATGACCCAGCAATTGCACTACTGGGTATTTACCTCAAAGATACAAATGTAGTGATATGAAGAGGCAACTGCACCCGAGTGTTTACAGCAGTAATGTCCACAGTAGCCAAACTATGGAAAGAGCATAGATATCCATCAACAGATGAATGGATAAAGAAGATGTGGTATATATATATATATATATATATATATATGTGTGTGTGTGTGTGTGTGTGTGTATAAAATAGAATACTATGCAGCCATCAAAAAATGAAATCTTGCCATTTGCAATGACGTGGATTGAACTAGAGGGTATGATGCTAAGCAAAGTAAGCTAATCAGAGAAAGACAATTATATGATCTCACTAATACGTGGAATTTGAGAAACAAGACAGAGGATCATAGGGGAAGAGAGGAAAAAATGAAACAAGACAAAACCAGAGAGGGAGACAAACCAAGAGACTGTTAATCTCGGGAAACAAACTGAGGGTTGCTGGAGTTAAAAGGGGTGGGAGGGATGGGGTGGTTGGGTGATGGGACATTGGGGAGGGTATATGCTACGGTGGGCGCTGTGAACTGTGTAAGACTGATGAATCACAGTCATGTACTTCTGAAACAAATAATACATTGTATGTTAATAAAAAAAAGGAGTCTGCCTTCTCCTCAGGTCATGATCTTGCATGGGGCCCCCTGCTCAGCAGGGAGTCTGCTTCTCCCTCTCCTTCTGCCCCTCTTCCTGCTTGTGTGTGTGCATGCACATGCTTTCTCTTGCTCTCTCAAATAAATAGAATCTTGGGGGAAAAAAAAAGGAAAGGAGGATATGTGACCTGCAGACCAACCCCAGCTGATGCAATGGAGTCAAAATTAGACGCCTCCCCTACAACCAGACTCAGTGGATATATATCTATATATATCTATAGATAGATATTGGATATGTCTTTGGTTTGGTACACATTTGCAACTAACTTGAAGCACACAGTCATACAGAAGTGTCAATATAATCACACAGATAAATTTTCCAATGTTTCACCTTCCCTTGGACAGTGGAGGGGTGACTTACCGGTATTGTACATGTGAGCATGTATTCTCAGAAAAGTAACTGTCCTCCACAAGAAAATGCTTAGAGATTATTCTCTGACCAAACTGATCTATGATTGCTTTACATCTACAAAGGAGAAAAACATAGCAGAAAAAATTTCTCATTAATGATTACACAACTGAAAAATAAACATAATCATCTACAACTTTGAATCTGAAATCAATTTCTTGGAAGACAAACTTCAAAACAGTATACAATTTCACATTTTGACATAAAACTGACACTAAATTATAGAATATATATTCTTTTTGCTACCTTGAAATCTTTAAGCTGTAAGCATAGAATTTAAATATTTATTTTGAATACCATTAATAAGAATTATGTTAGTATAAGTATTACAGTATAAGCATAAGCTTTCTAATGTTTAGGAACATAGAAGCATTTCTTTTGTTTAGAAAACAGGCTTTTTTCCCCTTAACAGATCTAAGAAAAGGAGAGAAAAGTTGATTAAGTATCTTGTTATATCATCACAGTCTGTAAAAGTCACTAAAGCCTTTTTATTTTTGTTAAGTGTTGCTTTCTCTTTTGTTCAAGAATAGCCATCTGGTCACACATGTGATAGTGTTTTAAACAAATAAAAAAGGAGGGATAAAGCTTCTTTCAATAAGTTTCTACTTTACTTCAAAGAAAGATCACAAAAAGATTTCTTTCAAGTGCTATTTCTAAATAAGGAAAACACTTATGCATGGACACTATCAGGTCTCTGTCATGTGATATGTGTTAGGACAATGAATTATATGGAACCCCCCCTTTGACCTTCTTTCAATGTGTCTAGATAAAAGGATGAAAATTAGAATCCATCTCCTTGCAGTGCCACAAGTTATAAATGTACTTTATAGGGCTCATTATCCAAACTAATGGACTAAGGGCAACATCCTTGAAATGGACTTACCAGCACTGACAAAGCCAGTATGCAGTATTTCAGAAATGATATGCAAATGGCTGCATGTTTGCCATATCTTTTTCTCATGAAAAATATCACAGCTTACTTTTGTCACAGCTTCTCCTCTTGAGATCAGAATTATTTTATTAGAAATACATTTGTATGTTACTCCTCATAAAATGCAAGTAAATAATTTCAAATTTATATAATATTTCAAATATATTGATATAAATTAAAATATGCTATAGCACTCTAAAAATAAGGCAAATAAGAGATATTTACCAGGCATAAAAGCATTAAAAATAAAATAATGAACACCCAAGACCAACAATAAGAGGAATTTAATGTGTATTTTCTAAAGGCAGACTATGATATGTTTATTCTTGAATAAATGACCAGCACTGTTGTCAGTACAGACTGTGATATCTACTGTGATATCTCATGATGTTAGATATATGTAATACATATTTTAACCAGTCACATATTAATACATATATATTACATTATTATTTATGTGATTTTTTTCCCATCTCACCTCCAATTCTTTGTCTTTCTCAGTTATGTTTCTATTGCATATGTCCTTATATTTCATTGAACTAGAGGTTTGCCTTATAAAATAGTTAACTAAATAGATATAAGGTATTTATACCTAGATACAGTATTTTCCAAAATTATTATTTAAAAACTGAAACGGTAAGTTACTTACTCAGTATCCTGTTTTAATACATTCACATACAATTTAAAACACAAGGTACTTTTGGCAATGGAGAAGGGAAATCTGCTGATACATCATTAAACACTGATCCCTATTTGTCCTGGAAGTACTGACAAAGCCTTTTTCTTACCTTTAAGTCAGAAACTATAGAAGTCAAGAGGGAATAATCTGGGCAGAAAAAAAGAGGGTGTTATAATATAATCTATATCTTGATAGGGATTTGGGTTATTCAGATTTATCATTTATCAAAACTCAGCTACTGAGCACTTAAAATTTGGGCACTTCACTGTATGTAAATTTTACAACAAAAGAAAAGGCTGTAAATAAATATTAAACTCTTAATGATAGGCATGCCAAGGTATTTAGGGGAAATTGTACTGATATTTGGAATTTACTAAGAAATTCTTAAGAAAGGTGAGCAGATGGAAAGAGAAATAAATATCTGGGTAAATACATGATTAAGCAAGTAATATATGAAGATGTTAGTTGTAGAATCTAGGTTGTAGATATACAAATTCTCATACTGAAATTCTCTTAACATTGCTGTAGATTTGAAAATTTTCATCATAAAATGTTGGAATAAAATTGATGGGGCTGGGGGAGTGGTGTTACTATAAATCCTGGACTCCAGTCTAAGTCTTTGCAAAGGACTCCTAGTTAAATAAACCACACCATTAAACCTGGCCCTCAAGCTAGTGGATACCTTCTTGTTTTGAAGGCTTCCAAACACTAACAGGGCTGCTTCGATGGTAGCTTGGTGACTGGTAGAAATTGGTTTCAGAAGCTATGGTATTAGAAAGAAATACTGGTACCACTCAAAAGGGAGGTAAGGATGCACAAGGATTAGGGAGTTCAACTATGCAAGGTCAATAGAACAGTAAATGTGTCTATTTATGCTGAAGCTTCTAGATGAAACAATGATTCTCAGAGCAGGAGGAGGAGGAAGAGGGAGCAAATCAGAATCACACCTGGGGGACTTTTTCAAATTATAAGTACCCCTGGAGATTCTGATAAACTCCCAAATCCCAGAAAAGAATCACTGTCGAGCATGCCACTGCTACTGTTATAGTTTTAGGCTGTGCTGGGTAGAGAAAAGTCAAGAACTATTGCTACCAAAAAAAGGTGATTTCTGCAGAAGTTGATGTGGTGGTCACAGATGGCCAATCTGGTAGATGATGGTAACACAACTCACCTGAGAGTCTCAACTCTGAAGTACTAAGGCTCCAGGCCTGAGCAAGGCTATTCAAACCAAAGCATGTTTAAGTAAGGAATAAGATTTGTTTCCCAACACCCCAATACTTGACTTACTATCATATATTAGGCATAATCAGGAGAACAATGAAGAAAGGAATATTAATTTGGGACCCAGACTTACACTTTGTATTATAAAGATTAATATAAAAAATTAGATGACACTTCAAGTGATGGAATAGAGCAAAACGAAAACAGTACTGCCAGAGACATTAAAACACCCTTCCACATAAACCTGAGGAAGCCGTTAAAGATTAACAGCATGCTGGATTTAGTGGAGGACCTTGCTGATCCTCATAAATAGTAAACTGAGGAGGAACACGATAGGAGTTCTCAATTACAGAGACACAAGGACCAGGCCGATCATAAGATTCACTGAGGCCAGACAGAACATTTCTAGAGCTGAGTTTTCTAAATCAAAAATCACAACAGTTACTCAATTCTTGGTTCAATGACATGAGAACATATACAGCAAAATGACAGGGGAGAAAATGATCAGCAAGATGAAAACTCTTTCATCTGAAATTTGGCCCAGAAGAGAAATATAACATTATAACAGGTATCCAATCTCTATGATTTCCAGAATATCCCAGTGGCATGATAAGAAATGCAGAAATCACATGAAATAATAAAAGAAAAAATACACTAATCAAGAAAATTAGAAGATCCCCAATCTTTGAAGGAAACAAAATAATTCTTTCTATTCATGATGCCCTTCCATGCTTTCTAAAACACAGTTCAAATGTCACCTCTTCAAAGAAACCATTCCAAAATGCTTATCATTTTCTTGGGTAAAAATCCACACCAATAGTTTCAAATACCATTAACAGATAACTCTAAATCTGTGGTTCTGTGTTCTGACCAATCCCAAACTCTGTATCCATATTTTTTTTCACCTTGTATCCATATTTTTAACCGTGTCTTACCTATTTCTTTCTGGATAGACTCTATGAACACTTTTTAAAGCTAGCATACTCCTGGGGCACCTGGGGGGCTCAGATGGTTAAGCTACTGCCTTTGGCTCAGGTCATGATCTCTGGGTCCTGGGATCAAGCACCACACTGGGCTTCTGGCTCAGTGGGTAGTCCGCTTCTCCCTCTCCCTCTGCCTCTCCCCCTGCTCATGTTCTCTCTCTCTTTTTCTTTCTCTGTCTCTGTCTCAAATGAATAAATAAAATATTAAAAAAAAAACCCTAGCATACCCCAAACTGAGTTCATCATGACTCCTCACTTGTTTCCCCCCTTGGAATACCTATCTCATGTAATGACATGACCAACAGTTAGGTTCCCTAGCTTAGAAACTTTCTTCCCATATCTAATCTACTACTCAATTTTGATTCTACCTTATAAAGACTTCTTGAAACTAGCTTCTTCTCTTCATCTCTACCATACTGCCTTAGACTTGTGCTTAGTCTAATAAGATAATGGACTGCTAGCAAGTCAGTAGCTCATTTGTTTGATGTAAATGATGGCGTAACAATCATGTGCCAAGCACTGTTCTAAGATATAAGAATAAAAATATCTTATCCTTAGGGAGCTCTCAATATAATGCAGATGCACACAGGCAATTGTAAGATAATACCTAAGTTCAGGGATAAGAAATGAGGACAGGACATCATGAGAGTACATCTAACTAAGCTTGGGTGGGGGGAGGTGGAGTATCAGGGAATGTTCCTCAGAGAAAGTGTTAACATTAGCTGCTTCTAAAGGATGTAAACTAGTTAAGCAAGTACGAACATTTCAGGCAGAAGGGCAGCATTTGCAGGGGTACAGAGGCAAGTAAGAAAAGTACAGGGAACCACACACAGTTCTGTGTTAAATGACAATAAAATAGAAGCAGGGAGGGAAGAGAGATGAGCTTAGAAAGGCAGGCAGAGGCCAGATCCCAGAGCCTCACAGGTCATGTAAAAGGGTCTTAACACTTTATTTGGAAGTGATATAAAGACACTGAAGCTTTTTACACAGGGAGGGACAGAGGTTAGATCTGCATAGTGAAAAGATCTCAATGTGTAATTATCTCACTAATTTATTTTTTCTTTAAAATTCCCTAGTAGAGGCGATTCACAGACCTGTACCCCTGGGGAAAAAAAAATATATGTTTATAGAAAATAAAATTAAAAAAAAAATTGCCTAGTAGATTCCAAGCTCCACTCAAACAAAGACACTATTGTATTGTTCTCGGCTATATTCCTAGTGCATGGGACACAGAAAACCACCA